CAAGCTCACCAGCCACTCCTCGGAAACCCTACACAGGGCCACTATGGGTCGGAACAGATTTAACACTTAGCACTTAACAACAACATATTTGGTCCAACGTTTAATTAACTCACTCCAAATGGGATGGCTGGAACTGTGGTTGCCTTGGCAGGGCCAGACCAAATGATTCCCTACCCATGATGTACAGTAACAGAGGTGGCATCCAGCAAAGGAGACCATATCACAATACAGGGTCCACAGTCCTTCACAACCTCATCCCCATATCCCACAGCCCTCAACCCTTCTGGGTGTGGACACCAGCCAGAGATGCATTTCTCCTTCCTTATCTCTGCTGCCCTGATGTGGCACTATAGAATAGCAGTGGACTGCAGGGTGAGTTTGAAACCCCATACAGAAACCCCATGAGTCCGAACTGACTCAAAGGCACTTAATAACAACAGATCTCTTGGCTGCCACTTTGCAGCCATGGATGCTCTCCCTCCCTCCTACATCACAGTTTAATTTATCTTTTGAGGGTTAAAGCCAGCTACTTAGACCACCCTAATCAATTACCTGGTGTTTATTTAAAATGCAGATTTAGAGACACTGTCCCCAAAGAATAATGAGTGAGGAAAATGAGGGAGGTAGAAGTACTAGGAATATGCATTTTTAAGAAACCATTCAGGTATTCCTCATGAGGTGGAAGTTGCTGGGCTAAATTTTTCACCTTACACATTGCTTCTTCACCTAATCCAGAAAAGCACTTAGCCATTATCCTGAATGTGTGCAAGAGGTCTCTTAGGCTAAGGTCCAGGGTCACACAAGCAGACTGGCAGTCAGGCATGAGGTTATCAATCAACTATCGACACTTCATAAGACACTTTCATGCCTACCATTTAATTGGGTCTCATTTCCCTCCTGGGAGGTTCTCATAATCACCCTCAAGTTACAAGTGAGAAGTGCCGAGTGCCCGAGTGCCCGCTTGGCTTATCCATTTCCCACACATCCTGGAGGCCTCTCTCCCACAGTTAGCTGCCTCATCATCCAGCCCCGATCAGACCCAGCTCATCTCCTTGCATGGGCTGATACAAGAATTGGCTGCAGCTGCTTATTCCACCGCCACTGGGTTAGGTCCTGGGGCTCGAGTTGTTGTGATAAACCCAGGTATTTATTCAAGGATTCATGGGCTCCATGAGGTTCCCTGCGCAGAACCAGATGCTGTGAATACCACTGAGATGAATAAGACATGGCCACGAGAATTTTCATTCATAAGAGGCTTCTATAAACAGACATCGATACCCAAACTGTCAAAAGGATCAAAAACTCCCTTCAGCTGTGGAAGCTGGAGGTCGGGTTACAAGAATCAGAGCCTCTCAGAGTTGCATGAAGAAAAGCAAGGTTTAGTGTGGGTTTATCACAGGTTTACACTGGGACTGGCCACTCCCTACTCCTCTGTCTGCTCCGCTGGCTGTTCTGTGTACCTCCAACTACCGACCAGCCTGCCTTTCTCTCTGCTCTGTGTGCCCCCCCCTTTATCTACCTTGCAGTATCTGCTTTCTCATTACTCCAGCGGCTGTCAAGTTGATTCTGACTCATGCTGACTTCATGTGTGTCATTGTAGAACTGTGCTCCATACATACAGTTCTCATGGCTGTGATCTCTTGAATGTCAGTCACCAGGTCTTTTCTTTCTTCCTAGTTTGTCTTAGTCTGGAAGCTCCACTGAAACCTGCTCTGCATTGTGGCAACACATGAACCTTTACTGACACATGGGTGATGGCTGTACTTGACATGCTTTCACCAGGAATAGAATGCTGTCCAGTCAGGTCTGACTCATAGCAACCCTGTAGAGGGTTCCTGGTGGGTTTGAATCGCCACCTTGTGGTTCAAACTGACATTGTGGTCTAGTGCTTGTCCTAAAACGCCACACCAGGACTCAAGTCTCCCACACCGAAGGTGAGAATTCACTACTGAACAATGTTGTAAGTGCCCTCGAGTTGATTCTGACTCATAGCGACCCTGCATGGAGTTTCCTAGGAGCAGCTGGTGAGCCTGAACCACCCATCTCGCAGTTCAAACGGCTCTGCAGTCTGGCACATTAACCCACAGGACTTTGTCAATAGTGGGCAAAATAACATTTGAACCAATAATATTCTGCTTTTAGGAGAATAGTGGGGAACAGGAGGCGAAATCGCTATCCTTTAGTTCCCAAACCTACATATTGCAGCCTGAGTTGTTGTGGTCTCTGGCATATATCACCCCCTACAGGAGCTCCTTGGAGGCCAGGATGGCTAAGCTTCGTCTCTCCTACTTTGGACATATTGTCCGGAGGAAACAGTCGTTGGAAAAGGATGTCATGCTGGGTAGGGTGGAGGGTCAGAGAAAAAGAGGAAGA